CACACACACACACACACACACACACACACACACACACACATGTTGTTCTTATATGTATATAAAACATCCAAGCTGAACTCATGTTTTATTCTCTGGTCTTGACAATAGTGACATAACTATAAACAAAATCCTCCCTACACCCACACAAAGAGGAAACTGCTTTTTTATTAGAAAGAAAATTTCCTTCCAGAGGAACAAGCTAATTTGGGAGGTTTACTATGCAATATACTTATTCGAAGCATTTTTTTCCTCCACAACTTTGTGGAATTTCATTGCGGAAAAAAATAATAATTCTGACAATTGCCACAGAACAATGCAGTTCTTGGTACCATAGTAAAGATGTATTTCCCAACTGTTTTCACCACTTTAATTAACAATACTGGAGCATTGTATCAATAATCAAATCCAGAGTTCTTTAACAGCAAGAGGCTATGTTTCTTTCCTATTGCCCAAACAATCCATGCCCCACACCCCTTTCCAAGTGTTCGGTTAAGGTCAATTAGACATATAAATAAAAAGAAATGCAAGGAAATTAAATGACAGGGAGCATCAACAACTAAGCCTGGAGCCAGGCACTTCCAAAACCAATCTCCAGGTATTGCAAGTTCTCTGTCAGAATTAGCAGCCACACATCCAACATCTCAGCCTTACCTGTTTTAATAAGACTTTGTCTTCTGCATTGATTTTGAGAGAAATGGCCAGGTGGATGGCAGACAATAGCACACCACTGATGACTGCTGCCCTCATCCTGATGGGTAGCAAAGTATAGATGCTGTAGATAAAAAAGATGGTCCACCAGATGCCCTCTGAGGCACTTCTGGGCTGCATTAGCAAGCAGCCAACCACTTGCACAGCTAACACCACAAGGATGACAGAGTAGCACATGAGCCACATGTGGTCCTGGTGGAAATCATTACGGTTGCAGACGGCCCCCAGGGACACCATTAGCAGGATGGCCAGGGACAGCACCACCACATAGGGCACTTGGTAGTGGCCATGAACAGTGTGGAAGAGCAGCATGACCAGGCACACCAAGACTAGCACTGCCATCAGCATGGTCAGGCTGCTCTGGTTGAGACGGAAAAAATACCGCTGGTAGAGGTGCTCCAACTTCTCTGACTGGAACTTCTTAGACCTGAAGATCTGTAGCAGGCTTCCACAACAGCTGCCCATTGAAATCATCTCAGACCCCCCTTCATCACCCCCCTGCTCCTCATCCTCCAGCTCGTCGATCTTGGCCTTGATCCGTTTCTCCTCGAGTCCCAGCTCCACAGAACGTGGGCGCACCTCACCCTGCTCACTACCATAGTGTCTCGGACTTGGGGCAAGGGAGGGATCTCCTGCCCGACAGGAGTGCTGGCTCTTGTCTCCACTACGATCCTGCCAAGCAGATTTGGACCTGAAGCTCATCATCCTGCAGCCACTTACCCCATGGTTCCTGCTACCTGGCAGATCATACTCCTCCTCACTCCTCCACCTGCTTGCCATTCTGGAAGATTCCTTGACTGAGGCCCTGGTAGGGAGTGGGTAGGAGTAGCCATTGGCTCTGGATTCAGCTTCTCCCCAGGCAGAGCGGTGTGACTCTGTCCCTCCACCCCTGGGCGCAGCAGGAACTCCAAACCCCGGAGGGCTTACGCTGTTGGAGCGGGACATGCCCTGCTGGGGCAGCAGAGGAAGGGCAGGAATTCCAGGAAACCAGGAGAAGGTGGGAGGGAAATCAACCAGAAGACATTGGGTGGTTCATGGCACAGAACCAAACAGCAATTCTCCGGATCTTCCAAACAGCATCTCTCCACCAATGAACAGGAGGATGGAAGCAAGGGCAGGAGACCAAACTTGAAATCCAGAACCAGATCCAACAGTGTCCCCAAGGATACTCAAATCTCTCTTAGTTGCCACCTGGAAAGCCACTCAGGTCTCCTTCCCTTCCCAGGAGTCCAACGTTTCCTCATGCAGGGTTTATATAGCCACATAGAGAGCTGGCTGGGAAGCAAGTTTCCCTCCCCTCCTAGGGAAAGGTGGGCTCTCGGGCAAGGATTCCCCTTCTGTCATTTTCCCGCCCAAGTCCCTGGGGTTTTGGCAGTTCACTGGCGCATCAAGAATTCAAATCCACTACACCGGCATACATAGAAAACGGAGACAGAGGAGGAAAAGGCACCTGGAGTGTTGAAAATTTCCCCCCCTCTCGCTTTAAGCCACAATCACTCTACAACCAGAACGTAACTTTGTAAAATCATCACTGTGGAGCATCTTGGCAAGTCTCTCTCTCTCTTTCGGGATCTCCTCCCCGCGAAGGACCTGCTGTCCAAAACGAACTCAAAGAGGTGGCATCATTCCTTCGCGATCTACTCTCCATGAAGCGGAGCAAAAAACCCATCCAGAATCGTCATTTTAAATTATTTGGCCCGGAGGCAACCTGCCTATGCGTTGGTCATCTGGGCAGCTGTGGCAGAGGGCAGCCCCAGAGGCAGCGCCCGAGGCGTCTGGCGAGCGACTGGCTCATTGTCCGATCCCCTCTAGTTTCGAGAAGGGTGCCCTAAGGATCGGCCTGAGAGGAATGGCGAGCGAGCGAGCGAGCCATCCGCCTTTCCGAAGCCCCTCGCCCGTCCCCCTCCCTCAATTCTTCCTGCTCAAGGCAGCGGCGACATTGCTGCAGTGGGAAGGGTTAGCGAAGCACCACCAACCCCGGAGCCGGCACTCGAAGCGTTATTTATTGGAAGCGAATCGGTCACCACCGGGTCGGTCCGGGCGCCTATCTTCTCTCTTCTCCCTGCTTGGAGGGAGCCAAGTGGGTGGGATCGCTGACGCTTGCCGGGACGGTCGCCGCTATTTTTGCCCTTGGAATGATGGGACCTGAAATCCGGCTCTGGTGGATCGAAGGCAGAATTAGGCAGGGCCGGCGGTGGGGCGGTGGAAGCAGGGCGCAGGCGGAGAAAGCGAGAGGCTCCTTCTTCGACCGTCGCTTCAGCAAGGAGTTCTTCGGCAAAAAGCCGATGCTTGAGCTGCTGCCTCTCCACGCGAGGATGCGTCGTTCTCCGCTGCAGCCAAAGGAACCGCCAGCCGTTCACCAGCTGTAGCGGCGGGGCAAAAACGCACGACCACAAGCTAATTGTGGGGCTGGGAGCCGGGGGGGAGGTGTTGGATAGCGCGCAAGAGCTGTTTTGGCGCGACTTCGAAGACTGCCACCGCCGTCGCGCTAGACCTCCATGCCTGAGCGTGCAAGGCGCTGCGGCGGGTAGAGGAGAGGCGACCTTCCCCTCCGACAACGTCAGCCAGGCAGCGGCTGCCCGGTTCTTTTTTTGCACGAGTAAAAGGGGCCTTTCCCGCGTACGGCTGGTTCCCTGGCCTCTTCGGCGCTTCTCCTCAGTTTCAGCCACGGCTCCTCGCCTTCGCCCCGCGCTCGCACGCTCTTCTTGCGGGGAACGGCAGCCCGCCCCTTTCAAACCAACATTTGTACGGCCCCTCTTCCACCCGAGCTACCGCCTGGCAGAGTTCCGCCTCGGTCTCGAGACTATTGGCTGGTCGGTCGGCCGCCGCCGTGTACGATTGGCTAGCTTCGCGAAATAATCTACTGGGTTGGCTTTTCTTCCAATGGGTAGTTTAAGAGGCGGGCAATGTTGATCTGGTGCCCTGCTACTCATCATAACCATCATCATCATCATCATCATCATCATCATCATCATCATCATCATCAAAGTCTAACATGGTTATGGTTGTACACTTAAAAAAAAGAAAATGAGAAAATAATCATGGCACTTCCAGAACCAGCCTTGCAATACAATCAAAGTCAAAACTAAATATGGCAACACCAAATGTCTGCTTTGTAAAATTAAGAGGAAAAGTGGAGATCCTCTCATGAGTGGCTGTAGTAAAATTGTTCAAACAGTATAAACGATGACATCATGATAGGGTTGCTGAAATTGTCCACTAAATTTTTTTATATAAAAAATTCTGTTGCACTGTTTGCCAGAAAACCACTGGCATGTGATGTACCTGAAAAAAATTTGCAAAATGGGTTGATATAAATTTTGTGAAATTTCAGAAAACAAATTAATAGACCATAATACAGTATGGAAAATATTACTGTTATAGAAAAGAACGAATGGTTCCCTGATGTGACAATGCCTCAAGACAGTGAAACTGATTTGGAAAAAATAATGGAGAAAATAATATAATATCATGGTTTACAAATTGAGCTTGAAAATTATGGAAGAAAAATCTGTTGTCGTACCTATTGTAATTGAAGCTCTTGATGCAATATTAAAAGGATTTAGCAAATATTTAGAAATTCCAAATTGAATGGATTTGACAAGACTAATTTTCAATCAACATATGTTTTGGGTCAAACTTTCAAAGATATTTGAAACTTTAAAACAGAACAAAATTTTTATGTTTTGCGGGACACAAACTGAGGAGACCGGTTAACTGCAACAGGAACCTTTATTAAAACTTAGAACAGGCAAGACAAATGACAGCTATTTATACCAAGAGCTGTCAGATGGGGAACCAATGGGAGAGCCCGGTTCCTCCTGCCAGCTGGCAGACACATCCTGGCCAATCAGAGGCGCCCTGTACAGCGCCATCTGCTGGTCAGGACACAACACGCCTTTCCCCTGGACTGCACAAACATAGTCGCAAAGGTACTCGAGGCGTCTGTGCACGCGTTGCAAGTGTCTCAGTAAAGGTGTGGCCGCCGCCGAAGAAGGAGGAGCGCTGTTGTCTCTGCTCCACTGGATTGGCATTGCGATCGACGCTGGAGGGCCCACCCTGGCCATGGCGCCAGTTTGCAATGGTAAGTGTTCCGACGAGACTGTGGCGGGCTGCATGGACTCGGAGCTAGCAGTTTTTTGTTGGTCGGGCCGGCAGGCGGCGTTGGTAGGGCTGGTTGTTTCTGGAGTGGCCGGACGGTCCATGGGCCCCTCCGCAACTCGCTGGCGGAGCTGGTCTACATGCCTCTGCCAATGTCTCCCATTGCTGAGGAGGACCCTGTAGGAACAGGGTCCAGTTATATCTGAAATGATTCCAGGCAGCCATTTCGGGTCGCCTGCAAAATTCTGGGCAAACACCCCCTCACCCACCAGAAAGGCCTGAGGGGGGGTTGGAAGACAGCAGAAGGGGTGAAGTGGGGATGCAGACGGTCTAGGGTGATGCGGAGTTTCCAGCCCATGATGAGTTCGGCAGGAGTTTTACCCGACAAGGGGTGGTGTGTTGTGAACGGAGATAGGTAGGGAACCAGGTAGACCAGGGCAGCGGAGCCATGCGACTGAGGGCCTCCTTGGTGGAGCGAACAGTGCACTCCGCTAAGCCGTTCCCCGCCGTGGGAATGGGGCCACCGGAGCATGGCGAATTCCCAGGCTGGAGAGATAAAGTTGGAATTCAGAGGAGGTGAACTGGGGGCCGTTATCAGAAACCAACACATCCGGAAGGCCATGGGTCATAAACAGGGAATCTAGGACATGGATAGTGGCCCCAGAGGTCGTGCTCTTCATGGGGAAGAGCTCAACCCACTTGGACCAAGCATCCACAACAATAAAGAGGGTGAGCCCCTCAAAAGGACCAAGGAAGTTGACATGAAGTCAGCTCCATGGGGCCTGGGGAAGGTTCCAGTCCCTATGCGGCACGGCGGGAGGCACCGGTCGCCCCTGCTGGCAAGCTGCGCAAGCTTGCACCCAAGCCATAATGTCCGCATTCATGGTGGGCCACCAGACATAGCCCCGCCCAAGGCTTTTCATGCGGACTATGCCAGGGTGCCCTTCATGGAGGGGAGTGAGGACGGCTCGGCGGAGGGTAGCAGGGATAACCACACGGGTGCCCCAAAGGAGGCAGCCCTGGAGAACAGAGAGTTCGGTGTGGTGGCGGAAGTAGGGAAGCAGGGAAGTCTCCACAGAGCTGGCAGGCCAGCCCCGGCGGACAGCATCCATGACAGCCAGGAAGATAGGGTCGGAGAGGGAGGCCTGCACAATGTCAGAGGCTGACATCAGCAGATGGAGGTCCTCTATGAGCCAAATAGAATTAACAGGGGCAGGGTCATCAAGCAAGGCAGGCAAGGGGCAGTGGCTCAGCGCGTCCGCGTGACCTATATGGCGGCGAGGCTTGAGGACAAGGGTGTAGGAATAAGCTGCCAAGAATCCAGCCCACCTAGACATCCGGGGGGAAATGATAGGAGGGGTAGGCCGGTCGCCCGCAAGAATCCCCAATAGGGGCTTGTGGTCAGTGAGAATAGTAAATGGACGGCCATAGAGGTAGTGGTGGAACCTCTTTACTCCCGCAATGGCGGCCAGTGCCTCCTTATCCAACTGGCTGTAATTGCGCTCAGGTTTGGATAAGGTGCGGGAATAAAAGGCAAGGGGAGCCTCCGACCCATCAGGGTAGGCATGGCTCAGCACAGCACCGCCCCCAAAGGCGGAGGTGTCACAGGTGAGCAGCAAGGGTAGGCGCTCATCACCAAGATGGGCAGGGAGGTTAAAGAGCGTTTGACAGCCGCAAGTGCATGCGCCTCATGGCTGGTCCAAACCCAGGGAATTGAGCTGTCCAGCAGCCAGTGGAGCGGCTCTGCAAGTATAGCCTTATGGGCAATGAAGGCAGAGTAAAAAGTTGAGGAGGCCCAAGAAGGCCTGCGACTCAACCTTGTTAGTAGGGGTAGGAGCAGCTAGGATGGCCTCAACTTTGGATGGGGTCGGATGAATGCCGGCCTGGTCAATCCAATAGCCAAGGAAGGGGACAGCAGGCACCCCCAGTTGGCATTTGGAGGCCTTCAAACGGAGGTCAGCGGCGCGGAAACGCCGCAAAACCATCCACAGTATTTTGATGAGTCCTGGTCTGTCGGCTGTGGCGATCAGGACATCGTCAAAATACGGGGTGACCCCAGGGATGCCATAGAGCAAATGCTCCATGAGGCCCTGGAAAATGCCTGGGGCCACGCTAATGCCAAACTGTAGGCGGCAGCATTTAAAAGCCCTGGGGTGAGTGATGATCATCTGCGCAGCCGCAGAGGCGTCATCAA